CTCGCCCGGGCGGTTGCCGTTCTCGTCCGTGATGGGGATCCCCAGCTTCAGCTCCCTGCAGGGAGCGCGGGGGTGAGAGGGGCCCCAGGGTGCGCCAGCTGTGATGGGAGGCACCGAGGGACGGGGCAGGACCGCAGCCCAGCCCAGGGGCCCCTCGCCAAGGAAGGCTGGTCTCTTCCCATATTCCCTCCCACGCGCTGCCTGATAAGCGTGGGAGGTCTCAGCTGCAGACCAAATTCACACTTTGGTGGCGTTCTCAGGGCTGGACGGGGATGGGGAGGGCAAGTTCATAGCTGCCTTTAACCAATAACCCCTTGGGATGCAAGCAGGTATTTGCACCCTCTAAACCAAGGCATCCACAGGCCCCAGGGTGGGAGATCCCAGCCGGCTCAGGAAGGAGCCCCCTCGCAAAGCCTGGGGCAGTGCTCACCCTACGTCCCACGTCAGGGCCTGGTGTACCCCAGTGCAGCACCCCGAATGCACCTGCCCAGCCTGGGGACTCACCTCTGCCTCATCAGCGGGATGTTGATGCAGTTCGCGGCAGCCACAGCTGCAAAAGGCACGTAGCGGCCGATGATGGCTGGCAAGTGCTGGGGGAAGAAAGGGGACAGGTCATGCAGGGGCTTTGGGGGCAGAGCTGGCTGTCCCCAGGCCTGTCACCAGGTCCTGCTGGACCCTGGCGTGTCCCAGCCCTGTTGGGGTAAAACCATCCCCCCCCTCCCCTCAACCCCCAGCCCAGAGGGTGGCTGATCCCCATCGGGTGTCCCACATCCCCTTCCAGCCCCAGGGAGCCACCCAGGGGTGAAAGCAGCCTGGGGAGACCCAGTCGGGGCTGGAGCCGGGCTGGCAGGGCCAGAGCAGACAGCATCACTGCAGACATTGCTGGGGAGAAGGGCTCCCTCCCCATGGGTGGCTCCTTTCCTCCCTTTTCTCCCCTGCTCCAAGCGATGGGGTGACTTCCCTGCTCAGCTCAGAGGGGTTAGGCAGTGGGGACACCCCACGGGGCGGGCCATGAGCCATGGCCAGTGATGACCACCTTACCTTGGTGAGAGATTTGAGCCCCAACGCTGTGACAACTGCCCCAGTGGTTGCGCTCACGTAGGCTGTTCCCAGCTGGCTGCAAAGGCAGGAGGTAACACCGGTGAGCTCAGGGTGAGCTCGGGTCCCCACCGTCCCACCAGCGCTCAGAGGGAGGGCAGAGCATGCCCTTCAAAGCCGTGGGAGGCAGGACGCCTGGGCTCCTCTCCCAGCTCTGCCACTGACCCACCAGACAGCCCTGTTCATGTCTCTTCGCCTCTGGCTGTGCCCAGTCCCCATTGCCACAGCTCCTGGCCCCCCGCTACTCCAGAAGCTCCTTGTGAGGCACAAGGGGGCCCTGATGAAACCCCCAGCATGTTGGGGGTCATGGGGGGGCAATGCAGAGGGATGCTTACCTAGGGGTGATGGGTGCATCCCCGCTACGGTTGGTGTAGTTGACGATGGCGTTGAAGGACTGGTTCACCCACTGCCAGAAGAGCACAGCCGGCGTGGTCCTGCCGGGGACAGCAGGGCACTGGGGTCACCAGGGGCTGCCACTACCATATGGCACGGGTCATCCCCTGCCACGTATGGGGCACACTCCCCCTCCTGCACCCCAGGGGCATCGAGGGGGGCCGGGGTGGGCAGGGAGGACTGCCATACCTGTAGAAGGTCAGCATGCACCCGGTGATGGTCATGTTCATGGGCACCTGGGCTGACATGCGCCCGATCAGGATCATCTTCTCGCCCGTGTCAGGGTGGAAAGCCGAGTCGTAGATGTACTTGGCCCGCCAGAGCTGGTCCTCTGTCAGCCCCGGGGGCACCGTGCCCGCCCTGCAAGGTGAGGGGCAGAGCCAGTCGGACCCCTGCTGCCATCCTCCCCACCGCTGCCTGCCCCACGCAGGGCAGCTCAGTGCCCCGGAGGTGCCCACAATACCGTGGGGCACGCTGGGCGGTTTGGGGTGGTGCCCCTTCGCCCCGAGCCAGAAGCCAGCTTTGGCCAGCAGGGCAAAGGGCTGGTGCTCAGTCCATCTCGGCTCCCCGAAACCACCCCGCTGCTGCCCTGGGAAGCCAGGACGCCTGGATTCCTCCTGCCCAGCATCACTCCTCTCCTCTCCTCCCTTCCGCTGCCCACCCTTGGGGCAGGCCACTTGGCCCCACGGCCCCATCCTGCCCTGGAGCCAAGGAACAACACCCCACGCACCTGTAGTCCTCCACCATGCGGCGGGCCTCCTCCAGCGTGGCCCCGGAGAGCAGCAGGTTTCGGGGGTCCGTCACCATGAAGAAGTGCTTGGCCCGGCCCTGGAAGGTGCTCTGGTCCCAGCGGGGCTCCCGGATGTTGATGGTGGCAGGCAGGGCCGGTGGCATCGTCTGGGGACACATCGGGGGGGAGTAAAATAGGACGCAGACCCCATCACCCCCCCACACGCACCGGGGGAGCTGGGGGGATCCTGCTTTGCATCAGCGCTGAGTGGGGACCCCTGAGCTCTCCCAGCAACTCCCAGCTCAGGGGGACCCCAGAGCTGCCCCCCAACATTAAACGCCCCC